CTGGCTGGCCGAGTGGTCACTGACTAATTTTCATCTCAATTTTAGTAAAAATTCTGTTCAGAAGCCGCCAGCGGTACAGAAAATAAGGCAGCCATTCTAATGGGAGCACTCACTTTATAGTGAAAAGACGTCTAATGGTAATGAATGGATGAAAAAAGCAAATTTGAATAAATTGAAAGTCAAACTGCACTGATGTATTCTGTACAATGAGGTTGTTTGTTATCTTGTACCGTCCAGTCAATAGAAGTTTCTGTTCCACTAGAATACATTTCAGACTTTTAACCTGTATATTTAACCTGTCCGAATATTTTTATTGCATATGAAGGAAAAATACGTAGGAAATTTTGTGAAAAATAGCAGGCTAATGTATAATTTAATAAAAAGCTTTTCCTTTCACTTAGATGCGTTGCCTACGTTTTCTAGATGTTGCAGAACGTAGTGTGAATAGAATTTCATGTGTGGGCCTACATAAACGAGGGAGGTGGTCGCGTATAAGTGAATAGTAAACAATAAAAGAAGTGCATTCCTGAACAAGATTCTAAGTACCGGAAACAATAAAACTAATAATAGCAATAATTATATCAAAGCCGCAAGTAGAAGTATAATACATTTTTCTCTTATTTTTGGGCTAGAGATTAGGCCTACAGATTCTGCGATTGCATCCATTACGAATTAATCGAATTAAAACTGTAATATTTCTTTTTACCTCATTTCGCCCTTAACTCTTTCAGAACCGAAGAGTCTATGAACTCTTGAATTCTAATTTTGTTTAATGGTGCTGTGCCAACTGCAAATGTTATGGAGTTTTGTTACAAAAGTCAGTCATGTGGCATTAGCTGGGAGGGAAAAGTATATTTTAATAGCGTGTAGCAACATGTATTTCGTGTTCCTGGGAAAAATGCGCGAAAAATCTCGTCAAAAGAACCCAGGACTGGATTCGAATGGGATGTCTCCCGAATACGAAGTAGGAGTGCCAAGCGACACGCTGTGACATCGGGTGAGATCACTTTAAATGAAAACTTGTTTTTGAGTAAATGCTGAATCGTGTGTTTTTGTTTTTGTTGCACGTGGTATCGGCTTAATATACGTACAATGAGGTAGCGTGTTTGTGCCTCCTCATAGCATGTAACAAGGTTAAAAGATTTGTAGTGCGGCGGGTTGGATATCCACATTTATTTTACTTGTCCATTTGTCGCTTGTTCAAAAATTATTTTAATTGGTCCGTATATCAACTCTGTTTCTTTTTATCTTGTTTCCAAGCGATGCTTTTAATTTTGTTCTGTAGACATGCTTTTCTTATTAAGCATTCGAAGCACGTATTGCCTGACAACCTTACTCCACCTATCGCTCTGACATCTGTTGGTGGTGATATCATATCATCTCGTTCGCTTCTCATGAGTCTAAAGTAGTACATGAAGGCGGTGGTCGAAATAGGCCGTTGAATGTGATATGCTATAAGCGTTACGATGCTTGTGTGGTGAGAATGGAAAATAATGTATTAGCTAGCAGGTCCACTGTTTTGCATCTTCTGGTCCGTATAACGACAGAAGTGAGGACATGACATGCTCTAGTATGTTTGTAAAATATTCCGACTCACCAGGCATGAATAACCCAGGGGCGGAACATTCATGTTAACTGTATTACTTGTGGAAGGTCGGCTAACACGAAAAATAATAAAGTGTTCTGTCTTACATTAGTGATTCAGTGGCACTTAATACACTGGGACATAGCAGAACTGATCATGTAAAATGCGTCGTTAGCCAGCTCCAAACAGGCTTTGTTAGTAGGATAGTTGGGCTTACGCTTGCAGCTAGCATAAATTGTAACCTTCGTCATGAAAATTACATTTTGATACTTCAGAAATTGGAAAGATTGGAGATGGACAAATATTTATCGTAATTTTAATTTAGAATTCATAGTTGCATCAACAGTAACATTCAGTGTTGTGAGTTCGTCATCAAGTTGGCGAATATTTTAGTAATAAAACTTTTTATTGATATTGTTTTGTGATGGTGTGAGACTATGTCTCTGTGCAACTGAACAGCTAAGGGACCCATAAAATTTGTTGTTACTGCTTCATAAACATTGAGTAAGAAATTAGTTTTTATGGTGGGGAGTGTTTGCTCCCGATCACTATTCAGTCCAGAGAGCCATTCCTTGTCGATTCCCCGCGAGTGCTTCTCAATATATTTACAACTACTGTCCATATTTTAACATTGTCTTGTCAGCATCGACTTTTGTGGCTTTTGTCTTTGAACCCTATGCGGGGAATCAGGTGAATTCAGTAAGAATAGGTCTTGAAATAGCGGGAGGCACTGTGTTGAATATGGAAGTGACAGGGCCTTCAAGGAAAAGTGAATTGTGTGTGTGGAAACGTGATTAAAATATAAAATCATCATAAACTATTCGCATATACGCCTTACGATTTACAAGACCTTAATTCTTTATTAAGGAGAAAAGTATATAAGATTTATGGCTCCCACGGTGGTAAAATTTCGACTCTGTGTTCAGGGATGTAAAGTCGTGTAATCATGTAAGTGGGTACCAACATCGTTTAATTAAACCTAGAAGGTGAAAGCGTTGCGATCCTCCAAAATGTTGATAACCACTACAATAATCCACGCGTTTGAATGCAAATGACAAACATATATTTATTGAAAAGGTTGGTAGTGGTGTACTTCAAATTTGACAATGGTCACTGCGTCTGCCTTATTTCCTATTTGCTATTCTAATTACCCGAATTTATTTTATTCGATGTTGTAGGAGTTAGAATTTGATTCACAAATGCTCCGAAAGACCAGCTGAACTAGATGCTCTTTGATTTTGGTTTTTCTGAACTAATCAGGAACCAAACAGAATCTGCCTTGAGACTGCAGGTGTAAGTTTAAGGAACCCTATAATTATTTTACCCCCAGTTTGTAAAAGATTATGTCTCTGAAGGAGCGGCCCCTCTGTACTTGGTATGAATTCTTATCTCTGTTGTAGACGGAATATGAGTACTCTCAGTTCTCGTGAAAAGGAAAGGTTGCCACCCCATGTTGAGTCCATGAAACAGCGCTCGGGTTTGAACAATAGGTGGGAGTCATTGGGGTTTCGACCCTTCAACACCCTTCTCTTTCTACACTGGAGCCACCCTTCTTTCTCTTTTGCTATTATATTTGAGGGCTGTTCCTTAGCGGCTTCCTTTTTGTCTCCAGCGAAGTGCTGTGAGTGGTCCCTCCCTTGTAGAACCAGGGACTATAATTCCACCCCCTTCCAAGGCATCGTGGACTGCCTTCTGAGCAGCAGGTTTTTTATGTACCTGACCATAAGGGTGTAACACCTCTCCACATTCCAAAATTTCTTTCATTTCTAACACGCGCCGCTGGCAGAGGCGTTGGGAGGTCCCGCTAAATTGAATGAAATTCGCAGACTGTCTCTGAGTCATACCAGATCATAGCTTTCGAATACTCTCCGACAAGGGGAAACGGACAGGGAACGCACAGATCCATGTTTGTTGTTTTCATCTTGATTTACTACGCATTTGTAGAGCTGGATGGACATTATTTTTTTAAAGTAGGATGTAAGGTTCTCACGGCTGTGAGTACGAAGAAGGCTGTCTGGGTTTTAACGGCGCTGCAACCCAGAAGACTACCGTCTTGGTATTTTTTATTCTGATTTCTAGGTGTTCGCGGCTGGAGTCCAAAGGTATAACTTAGGATTTTGGGTGTCAGCCGCGTCGGATGTCGAGTATTATCAAACTTTCCGGCGAACATTGCAGTTACCATCTTCAGGATGATTTTTAATACTTGAGGGCTATATTAATCTACTCAGAAGTAACTACGAGCTGGATAGGTTTGCGGAAAAAAATATTTTTTTAAAGTGCTATTGAACAGCTACCATTAATCTCACTGACTAAATATTTCACTGATGTAAACCTATCAAAACACAATTAAAGTGTTAATATTTAATTTGGGAAATATACTAAATTATGATTGTGTTTTCAGCATGTTAACATATGAATGTAGACTATATTTGCCTCCATAATCAGGGTTTCGACACCCCTATCACGCGTCTTTGTGACGTGATGATTACTTAAGCACCTTACACAGCACGCGAATCTCAGATTTAGAATCGCAGAACACTGGCTGCTCGCTGACTGGGATTTGCGGATGGACGCGTCATGCATCTCCCTCGCTAAGGTCTTAAATAAATAGCACGTGTGTCATGGCTCGTCTCCCACAGCGTCTGTGATCGGCATCATGCAGACAGATTTAGTAACCCTCGCAGAATCCGTGTGCATTCGCGATATACGGGCAGGTGGAAGCTATGGACGATTCAAGTGTGGGGCCACTGCCTCTGACTCATATAACGGACTCAAAACGATTTGTTGACGCAGTGACGTGCAGATCGCCCGTTCCGTTGTTCAAACCATATGGAACTTAACAAAATAATGTGAGAAGTACTATGGTATTAATAATTGAAGTTTTATGAAATGAACAATGACTTGAAATCAAAAGTGTTTGAAAGCTAAGAAACATCTTCACAGTAAACACATGTGTATTGAGAAAAGCAGCAGTTATCCGTTTTCCGGAGAATACAAGTTGAAGGAATGAAGACGCAGTCTGTCGCCTACTTTCCACGACATCATAAATTTTTCTGCGGCCCTCGACAAAGATATGAATAGCGAATGCTGTCCGCGAAAATTAAATAGTTGCCGACCCCTGATGAACACTGTCAATTATGTTAAAACGACATTTTTCACATAAAACGCAACGGAAGTATGAGGGAATACTGTTTTAATATCGTCGATCTGTTTTGGACGTAACGTATTCCAGATAGTGGCATAGGGAACAAAGAAATACAGGGAAAATAACTTAGTATAGTTGTTTTTATACATGGGTTTTTACGAACGCAAGTGTCAGGTTGTGATGGCAATACCTATGCGGAAAGACGAACCCATTTGACAATATTTGTACATATTCCATTGGATTAAGTCTTCCTGTTATGATTACTTCCAGACACGGGCGGAAGTAACAACGGGAACGGCGTGGGTCTGTTCCCGAGCGTGTTCAACCTGGCGACCCGCGCCGCCATCACGGTGAACGCGACATGCGGCCTGATGGGGCCCGAGGTGTACTGCAAGCTGGTGGAGCACGTGCAGATGAGGGCCCCACAGTGCGGGGTCTGTGACGCGAACGCCCCCGATCCCGACAAGAGGCACCCCATCACGCACGCCATCGACGGCACACCACGCTGGTGGCAGAGCCCCAGTCTGCAGAAAGGGCCACAGTACGAGTGGGTCACCGTAACACTGGATCTGAAACAGGTCGGAACCTCTTCAATATTCCTCGATTAGACAAGTCTGTTGTGTTGTTTTTAAGCAAACTTCACTTCCATATAGACAAGTAGACTTGCCAACATGCTGTTGTCTTGTCTTTCAACGCTTGCAACATTTGACAGATTTTCACGTAATTTGATATGAACGTTTTGTAATTGAAGGCTACCCCAACCTCGTAGGTCTTTAATAAAGACACCGAGGTCGTACTATGTTGTGACAATAAGGCCTTCTAGCGCAGAGTTATGAAATTATATATGGTAATAGATCTTCCAAAATATGCAACCTTTGTTTACGTAATTTTGTAGAAAGTAGGACAAATTTGATGGCCATGCGAACACTTTCACTTCAGTTTGACAGCGGATAGCTAAATGAAATTTTGCATATTTATTTAGCACAAATATTCATGTGATGTATGTGCGAATTGTCTGTAAGTAGATCATAACAAGCATGGCAACGGTTCAACAATTGAGGAAAAATAACAGCCATCATGATGATCCTCTGGGTTTTGCCGCCGTGTAGACTCGTTGGTAGATGCCAACGTTTCGGAAAATAATAATAATAATAATAATCATCATTGTTATCACTGCCGTGAAAATCCGAAATCTCAAAGTTACCGTATTAACAACTGAATTCTTTATTTTGACACTAGAGGTGCCAATTACGGAGTCAGCACGGGAAGATAAATTATGACAATAAGTGTATATCGATTCTACAGTCGTAATTAATAAAAACAGAAATTGGGCCTGTTAACTACGTAGGATTTATTTGCTCATAAGCTCAGCACGTTACCCAGAATCTAGGTTGTATTTTATTGTTGGACTATAAACTTGGTTTACTTAAATATAACATCCAAGTTTAGTAGATATTAGGTATGTAATGCTAGTACATTTATAACTCTAACAAAACCACGGATTAATTTTTATTAAAATTCTGTACAGGAAAAAGGGCCTTTATTTATTTACTTATGTTTTATTTAACGACGCTGTCAATGTCTCAGGGGACATTAGAAGCGTTACTTTCGTGGGAATTGAATAGCAGAGGCTGTGGTAGGAAGTGGTGGTCGTCTAATTTAAGGCTCTATTCCGGAATCTGTCTGGACGGACTGAGGAAATACACTATAATCAGTCTGAGGGCCTTGATTTGAACCCAGGAGCTCCAGAATATGAACAACTAGGGCGCATAGTTCGGTGCGGAATTACTTCAATAATTTTAGTCCCGAACCCCGAAGGGGATTCTTAGGCTTTGTTCGGGAGACAAATGGTCGTATTAAGATCTAATGGACTATATTTAGAAGGCTGATGATATAATATTATCTGCTAATAGAATGACTGACTTTTTGGTTAGAAAAAATTCGCAGTATAGAAAAGTAGAGTGTGGAAGTTACATTACAATAGACCGGAATTGCGGTATTTTTTTCCATTCTTTCCAACTTATTATTCATAACCATCTTCGTATTTTTCACCCTACGGTGCTTGATGTATATACAGTTAAACAAGCCAGCAAGTAAACAGTTCACTCAGTTAATGTTTGAAGATGTTACTCAGTGCCTTTGTCCTTAACATACGTGTAAAAATATGAGCACTTTGTAGTTTCTGACAAGCTGGTGTTAGAATGTCACGCGTGTATTTTTAGATACTTGTATTTTCTCTATATATTTTACTAAGTCTGTCCTATGAATAATGCGAAGGTGTAATTTATTCTTCCGTATTTTTTTAAACTGTATGTGTTTTGCTTAGCAACTGTATGCATTAAGATTAAATATATCAGAGATGAGGACTCTGAGAACAATACGTGAATCTAAGAGTGCGGAACACACTAACTGGAAAGAATTACGTACTGAGTCGTTTCATGGGGTTGGTGTAGTTACTTGTGCGTTAGTCTAAATACAGATTTCGTGTGTGGGGCATTCTTCCCAGTACTGCTGGCTCTTTAAAACTAATACGTTTACTGTAATGAGGCTTATAGTTCTTAGCTTTCGTAAACGTAACATGATGCACTACCCCAAGACCACACAGATTGGTGTGGATTTTGACGAATATGACATGCCAGCTGGAAACGTCAGACTTCCTGAGAATATTGTGTGTTTTGATAAACATCTCCATGTAAGGAATAACCCTTTAGAATACTAGGAACAGTGGAGATACCTTCTCGCCTCTCTCCCAGTCATGTTAGAGCATAGTTTACATGCATTTCTTGATCTATTGTATAAAGAACTAAGCTTTTGGTCTGGAATTATTTTAGACATTTTTATATTTACGCGTGGCTCCTCTGCTAAAGTCTCGTAGGTTTTTGACTGTTAGGACAATTGTATCACTGGCTTGAATCCCGCTTGTGGTCCTATATATGTACACATTTTCTGTAATGATCTGTTCTGTGTAAGAAATAATTGGATACCCCATCCAAGTAGACTTATAAAATTTATAAATGGTTTGTTATTTTAGAAGTAACTCTGAATGGGACCGATCAGAATTGTAATTACAATGAAGAGAAAAAATACATTTGAAGGCAGTTTCTTGCGCGCGTTTTAAAAATTCTTATTGCCAGCTGTTGATTGTTTATCATCAACGTTTTGTATATCCGTAATGCTGCACAGTTAGCATGAATAATTGATACCGATTTAAAAACTTCCTGAATAGCAAAATTTTTCCCACTTTAACTGTCTCCACCCAAAACTGAAATGTATCGATCGTTAAAGAAGGTCTATGTATCGACACGTGTCTAGTTCGCGTGTGTGAGTTGTTTACGTAAGGCACATTTCCAATATGGTCTTCTCACTGACTGTCAGGATGTAGAGCGTATTGATATTGTGAGGTGGGTTCAGAACTACTTTCTTATTCCACACCCATTCACATAAGCGTTGTGTCGAGGGACAGAAAAGCCTTTTGGTTCTCAGCGGTTGCGTTCTGGCTGACCGCAGCTAATTCTCTGTATGCCCGCTATGATCACGTTCCTACTTATACGTTCTGTGCATCTTTGTTGTGGGGGTGGAATGCTGCCACGCGAGACTTTGAGTAGCTCGATGAATAAGTTGTAGGAACTTTTCCGACAGCTGGTGAGCTGTTTGTTACCGTTAGGATGCAACTCTTCAGCAACTCTGAGACGGTCTTAAAACAGCAGTCAATTATGCGAGTATTCAGAACAGAAATAACAGAAACTGTGCTCCATATTTATTTGAATTATAACCATCATAAGCATTTTCATAATATCCTTTTTTCCAGTTGAGGTTTTCCTAGTATTTTCTCCCTTTGATTGACTTATCTTTTACTTTCTTTTGTCTATACCATGTTTCGTCTCTCACTTGACTATCGTAGTCATTTTGTATCACTAACTCCATTAAAATGGTTGCCAACAAAAAAGATTGAGAAGTCTGGTTTGAAATACCGTTCGCACGTTTTCTTGTTTCTATCAGTAAGGCTTTAAGTGCCCCCCTGTTTGCTTTTAGCGCTGTTTATTTATAACACTGTGGTAGCTGCTATGGTCGGGGTATTACCGGCTCAACTTGGAACTAACCTATCCAGCCAGCCAGACAGTCGAGATGCTTAAGCAGATACAGGAAGCTGGGGTCTCCGTACCACACAAGACGGGACAGCTTCTGGGACTGACGTGGAAGAATCACACACACAAGTGGAGGGGGGATGCTCCAGTTTTTTGTTGTTTTGATAACATTTTCTTTCCTGTTCTTGTCCTCTCTTTGAATCAACAATCTTTGTAAACGAAGCAAATTTAAGTAGTCCCTTCATTAACGCTGTTTTCACATTGTACCATGTCACAAGATTTAGAAGTATTTTGTCTTGAGACTGGTCTTACGTTGTTAAAAACAACGGATGTTTGATTAGCTCTCTGCGCTTATAACTCACAATTTCCTGGAAACAAAGGCATTGAATGGTTTAAGGAAGTAATTTCGTGACCGAGTTAACTAACTCCACGGGACAGAGTCCTTCTTGAAGAGCTTATAATCATTTAGATATACTTTTATGAAATTCGAAGGTTCATTAACACCAGACGAATTCAGGCCTTTTCGTCACTCATTGTCTTTATCCTCCATTTTAATGTTATCCTTCCATCCACGGCTAGATCTCCCAAGCCGTTTCCTTCAGATTTTCAGACTGCAAATTTGTATGATATTTTATTTTTCTCCATATGTTCTACGTGCCCAAAATATATTAATTTACAGTTTTGGATCGCTCGTTGCTCAAGTGAAACAAACGTGTATACTCATCTTGTTATAGCTAAGTGTCACTTAACTTAAAAAAAAGAAACTATGTGTGGAGAGCGGTGAAGTATGTGGAAAGAGTAGACTAGAATTTGCGTACTTACATATCGTCACATGTAAAAATCTTTAATGTAAGAGTGGAATGAGTAACTTGTATTATCTTATATGATGTGTTGTTCAATCTCGAAAAATAAATTCATTGCGGACAAGTGTTCAAAGAATTATACGCAACATGGGCAGTGAAATTATCATTATCATCATCATTATCAACTTCGTCGTTGTCATAATGGACGGAAACGTCCTTGAAGTATAGAAAGAGGGATGATGTTTGACCAGGTTCGCGATTTGACGGTAATGAGTAAGATGATGTCTTATATGATGTTGCGCCGTGTCAGTCAATGTCTTCGAGACTACATGGCACAACATCGCAGAAGACAGCCATCTTTATAACCCACTTCCATCTTTACGAAGTGAAAACGTTTGCGTTCCATTCACGGCATCCCCTTTCGAACTGGAGTGGGCAAAATGCCCGCAGGAAGTCGACTGAGCACTCCCCCGCACACGTGTGTTCAGGACGTCGGGCGGCACTTCCTGAATCAGGACTATCAGTCCGCGATGGAACTCTGCCAGAGCTTCGCTCTACCCGACAGACTCGGCGGAAATGCGTCACTTATCACCAAAATAGTACGAATTACTGAAATGGAAAGTGAACGTAGGTGACTCCAAATTATAATTCTGTTCTGATAAAGTCTGTGCTGATCCCACGTGTGATTTT